CGAAATAGAAGTTCGAAATAATAATGGAAAAACTATGAGCATAATAAGTCGACCCATGTCTAAATTTTAACATTTACAAATTTTGGTAGACACACGTGTGTCTCTTTGTTAAGTAAATACTTCATCACAGAAGCCAAGTTTTACCCTGCCGAGTAACTGATATCTTTGTTTACACAACTACGTTGCCAACTGTCTGGCATTGCTTTTTGGCCGACTGGCTGCATTGTTTATTGCCCCAACCAAGCTGTAATTTAAAACCTTGTAGAAAACCTTGCCATTAAATGTATAACGTGTAGATGGGGACATCTCCGTTCCTGAAAGGTATCAGTACCTGATTTGCATCAACAGCTTAGTAGATACCATTATCGTCTGTCCATTTGATTTTAGTCTGTAATCATGTTAACCAGTCTCAGGGTTTTAAATCTGTTGTCCTTTAACTTCATATAGAACTTTAAAATAAATTTAGCTTACTTCAAGATTTTGAGCTTTCGAAAGAATTGAGACTTTGTAGAACTTAAAGATTCTAAGATCTTAAATTGCATTAAGAAATGTTTTTAAAAACTAGTGAAGATTAATTTGTATGCCATTGTTTTTTTTGTTATTTTGTTTAACATTTAAGTTTATGATTTTCGGGATCGCAGATTTTTTAACATTTTTTCTTTTCAGTGCTTTAGTTTAAGCAATTAAAACTGTCGTCTACTAAGTTTACTTTCGGCTTAACTAAACTCTGAAGTGCAGTCATTTGAGGCAGCTGCACATACATATGTCTAATCCCTTGAAAATTCACATGTTACTCGGCTGGGCTGCTGGCGCTCAGATAGCCGATATACGAATATATGCATATAATTTCGAAATGTATGTATTTGAACTGCATACCCTGGCACTGTGTCTAATCCAAATTCAATTGCTTAATCCAGCATGACTGGCAGCGACTAGAGAGCGACTTTGAAAGATGGCTGAAGGACTGATGGGTTGATGGGTTGATGCTTGGCTGTCCATTGGACTGATGTTTCTTCATTGGCAGTGCTGCCCCCCAACAAGCTTAACGCATCAGAGCATTTGCTTAAGTTAGCTATTGAATTACGTAGTTACCTACACATGCGTATGTTTACATTGGTATATATGCACACGAAGCACTCTCATATGTCAACATATCATGTTGCAATTCACTTTCGGGTGCTAAGTAAGTTGTACTTGTAGTTTTATCCGTGCGAGAATGCCAAATGGAGCTGGCTAAGATGCTTACATAAAATCACAATGTTTACCCTTTTATTTCGACCAGAGCTGCTCTTTGCTTAAGTTTAATGTGTGCACAGATTCTTTTGGGTGCCTGAAATAGACGTGCCAAACCTAATATTATCCAGCTTCGTCAAATTGAGTAGAGGGATATCCTACATTCTGCTTAAAAGTGAAGTTTAATTGACCATATAATACTCAAGCTATGTAAAAAATATAATTTCCGTAATGCTAATTTCACAATTTTTTCCAATTTCGTCAGACTTAGACTGCCGCAGATTTTGATTTATATATCTGTATATATGCATGTACCTACTTATCCATTTTTTAAGAATGTGCTTATCATTTAAAGGCTCTGTCATGGTACTTAATCTTTGGCGCCCACATCTCTGCAAAGGAAGTGCCTGATTCAATTCGGCAGATGCAATGTGGTTTAATTAGTACGGATGACAAGGAATGGCACATCAACAATTATGAATACCATTCTCTTTGTACAGGGCTTTCGGAACGTGCGGATGGCTTTTAAAACATATTTTCAATTAGCGCAGCGACTGTCATTCGGCGCACATGCAGCTAATAAGGGCTTGACAAATAGCGAACATCTGTAAACAAACCAAATGTCAGCCGAATTTTGTTTTTATAATGAAGTCCTTTATTGTCTGCTTTGATAAGGGGTATATATTTTCTCATAAACACGGCCACACACTTACGCGCACATACACGTGCACCCGCCACAGGCATTGGCAGAAGCGCCAGCTCACATAGCCTGGCTTAAACACTCCCACCTCATGGCAACTGAAAAATGCGGTGAACATTTTGGTTTCACTTTGTCATCAACATTTCAGTCGTTTCCATTGTCACAAACAATGATGCAGCGAAAACTCATTTAAGATTTGACAAATATTTTTGTGTTTCATGAATATTTCATTATTCGAATTTCATTCAAAGTTGATTTCATTTTCATAACTTCCATCCACCCTTAAGTGATTAAAAAGGAGAAGAAGCAGTTGCATATTTCTATACGCTGTGGATAGAAATATGAGTTAGAAAGCTACAACTGCGACGACTTAACCGGGTTTGATTATCAATAGAACCTTTTTGCTTTCAGTTTTCTGCAAAGTGACTTCTGTATTAACGTTAATCTAATGTTGGATTGAGTCGCACAATTGTTTTGCTTATGTTATTCGAAATCAGCAGCAAAAAAAAAATAATAATTATAATGAAATCTACATATGTTTCGTTATCCAGATAGTATAATTTTATTTAAACAGCAAAACAAGTATAAAAGCAACTGCATTTGCATTTACCCTATGTTGGTTCAAAATTGTAAAATTGCTGACAGAATGCGTTTGACTGTGAGCACAATATATCTGGCATTCTGGATGCTACACTTGGGGTCAGAAAAAGGACATGCCGATGAGGGCCATTTGGAGTTGCCACCTCGACGTTCTGATTATGATCCCAATATTTTTCATCGCCGACAGGTCAATGCATCTGAAAATAATATAAATCCAATCCATTTCGATGTTGAAGAGACAACCTGGAGATTGGAGACCGGTTTGAGACGGGTACCAGCTTAATGGAATTATTTTTCAGCATTTATTAATTTACTTATACAATTTCATTAGGCAAGGCTCGAGTTGATAAGTAGATTATGCCGAAATCCTGGCAGGAAATGTCGAAATATTTTGGATTGTTGCTCATTAAACTGCACACAACGGACCAGAAGGTGTGTGTGAAATTACATTTAGTTTTTTGGATATTAATAATTTAATTGAATATAGTTTAATAATATTGAAAACAATACCATAATATCTTGCATCTATTTCATTATTATTTTCCAAATTGCATTCAAATTTATAAAAAAAAATCAGATTACTGATAAAGTTGTTGCCGTATGTTTATGTACGACCATAATTTATGCACAAAAAACATGTAAAGTGGCAAGGAGCATAACAAAAGGCGTGCGAGTGGAACTAAGATTAGCAAACATAATTAAGTATACGCCATGTGCTGCCAAAGAAAGGTGTTGAAGTGTTCTCACTACAATACTACATTGTGGATAAACTTACGGTCAGCTGTCACCAGTGTGACTTATTTCAGGTATGGCAAGTGGACGAATGCAAAGCAAAAATGGTTAATGTCATTCTTCATTTGCCAAGCGGAAATTGTGTGCAAATCAAGTTTTACGACCGCAGGGAAACGAACATTCAAAGCCAGCCACAATGGACACAATGGGGCAGGGCTGCCGGCGAATGCTAATAAAGACAGGTCTGACCCGAAAATGCATGGAATAATGGAAAACCAGCGGAAAGTAGATGAGAATTATAAAAACAGCTGCTGCAGATGAGTTTGAGTGTAACATACTCATATTTCAATTGTGCGCCAGTTCTGGCAACAGTTTTATAAATTAATAACAATAATTTATACACAGTGGCAACTACAGCAAATCATAATAAATTCAGGAAAACTTTCAACATCAACAACTAGAACTACAATTACAACAACAATAAGTTGCATTCGGGTCCTAAGTCGACAATTCTCACCCGCCGTGCTGCTGTTGCCTGATTTTGCATGTAAATTTATAACCAGCCCCCAGTTTGCCATTGCTTGGGGTTGGCTCTGTGTGAAAAAACTTGTTTATGAAACACGCTCGGGCGAAAAATGAGCGCTTCGAGTTTGTTGTTTTTGTTCTTTTTTTTTTTTTGTACCCCACCGATGTTGCCACAATAACAACACGTAAATCTGGCACCAGCTGACAAGTAGTGAATTTTCTCTTGTTATGCGCCTCTCAGCACCATGGCGTAGCTCAAAAGTTGCACAGCCAGCCCAGCCACACCCGGACCAGGCGCAATCCCATCCATTGAAATATTAATGCTAATGGCTAGAGGGAAACATTTGCTGATTGTGTTCTCCAGTTTGAGTTTTGTGCGGTGTCGGGCTCTCCAGCCCAATGCCAGCTATGACGAGTTTTCCAATAAATTAATGAATCTTGCAAAAGCTGTTGCAGTTGCAAGCAATTTCCGGAAAGCATGCCAAGAATCGACAGCCAAAGAAGATCTACAACAAAGTCCAAGGCAAGTTGTGCATGCCAGAGTGGTTCACATAATTTCTAATGTGCCAAAAAATGTTCATGGAAAAGTTTTTCAAAGCTGCAGCATCCATACGAATGAGCGCAGGATAACGGATCAATCATAATATGCACAAAAATTTAGCAGTTTTACAAATTTAAAGCTCAATTTGATAAGATTTTCGTATAAAAGAGAACTTTATATTTGGTTTTGCAGTGTGCCGAACATTTTACGTTGCTTACATTCGACACAGACTCTAAGTATTTATGAACATTTGAATTTATGTGAAATGTTATGCAAATGCAAACATTTTAGTCTTCCCTGCTTTGTTTTGCCACAATGATTGACCAAAATTGCAAATTTCAGTTCTGGCTAAAAACCTGGTGTCTTAAAGAGCGTAACAATTTAGTTGTCGACTAGTATGAACGGCTGGTTACCCTAGCTTGCTGGACCGACAATAATATGAGAAGAGCTGTTAATGAGTGGAATTGCAATTAGTGGTAACGAGGAAGCAGTCAGTGTGAAATTAAAATCAGTAAGTGAGCTTTGGGAGATAAATGAATGGGATGACGGGTCAACACGCGAGTCCTCTGCTCCGCGCTTGAGACCTTATTTTCCTAATGCCCGTTAAGCTTAAAAAGTATGTGACCTAAAAAAATAACCAGAAACAAGTAGGTTATTCTCTATATTTAAAGCGTACTAATAAATATGTATTTTTAAGTTCGTTGTGTTATTAAAAAAATAATTCTGTTTCTGTGCTGTTTGTATGAGGTCTAAAAATTGTTTTATGTTGGTCAAGAAGTTACCTCAAATGCTGTTGGTTTTGTGTTTGTGTTTTGTTACTTGCCACTCAAGTGTGACAAAGCTAAGTAAAATAGCCGGCCAACCGCACGGTCACGTGCCAGGAAGTTGTACGTGCCAAGAATTAAAAAAATGGAGTAGAGTAATGTAGCATAGTGTCAAGCATAAGCGGACTAAATGGCAAGTCAAGTAACCAAAAGCATAGAATTCACAGCGACCAGCAAAGGTCGTAAAGCTGGCATTGCTTGACGGCTCTTTGCAGTCAGCTGACGAAACTGTAAGACATTTTTAAATTTCAATGTCAAAAAGAATGTAGCGCACTTTTATGGGCGAGGGCATCAAGTAATTGAATTTTGATGAATTCACTTTTACAACATAGTTGATAAGAATTCAAAAACCGCCTGCAGCTGCTGTTGCGTTGCACACATTCGGATAATTTTACAACTGGCCAGTAAATTTTGCCAAAAAGGAGCAAGCACGCACAATCAGCGCCAGCTGTGGCCTGTGGAAGACATCAAACTGTAAACTTTAGTTGTCGGACTGCCGAAAACCTTTCCCAGCTGCTGTCGCATCTCTGTGTGGATCAAGTCACGTGGTATTTGTCAGTGCTCCTGAGTGCACATCAGAAGGTGTAAAAGTTTTCGCCAAAGTTCAAGAATCTTGGCTCCTTTTAATGAGCTTTTTGTGCGAAATTTAATGGCAGCCAAAAAAGTTTTTATAATTAGCCGGAGGATTAGTTTTACAAAGAGAGCTAAGCAACTAAGGCAGCTTTGCGCAGCATGGCAGATGTAGAAAAAATTGTGTGATATAATTATGCAACTTGCACTTTTCTTAAGTTTGCATATAATATTGATAAAATAGTCATATTTAAACATTTGCTTAAATATATTTATACGCATATAGCTCGAACAGTTATTTAACTCCGCTCGAAAAGTTAAGAAGAAAAATGTCAGAATAAATTGTAGATAGAAATTATTGACTAAGAAAATTTTAGTTAATCTTCGGATGACCTGTCTGTCGTAAAATGTTGTAAAGTTTGTTTTCAAAGATCCTTTGCCTAAGTTTCGGCCCTAACCTAATTATGCAAGTTAAAGAAATAATTAATTCAAACTTCAAGTTAAGTTTTAAGTCTGACTGCTTTGAATGAAATAAAAGTACAAGATATTAGGTAAAATTAAAAGTTTTTTTTGTTTGCTTAAAAAATTGAGCTTAAAATTGTTCGTGTATTTGATTGGCATTTCCCTAAAAATTTAAAAAATAAATAAATTTTTTTCCACCTCGTTAAAGTGGCCATCCATTACCCCTTCGTTAGTCGATTTTTGCGCACAAATTAATGCCGATTGCAATTTTAAAATGGGTAGTCTTTTTATTCAATACGTATGCCAGCGACAAAAACCAATAAATTTGCATGTAAGAGGCAACACGAAGAAATAAAAAGCATTTAAAAATTTAATTAATTCAATTGAAATGCGACGATGCGACTTTACGAATTGCAATGTCGAATCCTGGTTACAGCTCCGCTGTATAATTTTGTGCTCTGTTATTAAATGCATTTTCGAGGTTAATTTGGGCTTCTGTTCGGTTATTGTCTTCAGGTGTATTTAAGCTGCAATTAAAATAAAATTGAATTTGCAAAATAATATTAAAATATATCCATGTTAATAATGCTGCTCAGGAGAATTAAAAGCTTAAGGGCTTACAATACTTTAACATTTATTAGTATAACAACATTTTAACGAAACTTGAGATACAGAAGTTTGTCCTAAATTAATCAGCTCTTTATTATACATTTTGCCTCTACATCGTTTTATTTATCGAATTATTTACATACGTTTAATTAATTTTCTATTAAATAGCATCTCTTGTAATGCGTAAATTAAAAGGAAAATTATTTTGCGCAGCAATAAATTAAATTACTTTCCATTAATGTCGGCGCTATAAATTATATTGACACTATTACGAGCAATAATATTCCAACCACATGTATGTCTGGTTTGGCGATAATGAAACCCATTATTATACAAGTAAAATAACAAAAATGTAATGACTATGCTCTGAACAAATTACCACTTACGGTGCTGCAAAAGGTCAACAAATGAATGGCTAATAGCTCATCTCATTTATAAGCATCTCAAATATTGATTTTCCTTCGTGCCCCAATGCAATTCCATTCGCAGTAGATGTAACTGATTTAATGGGCCTTTGGATGATATTATTGGAAAGTGAATGATGATGCTCTTCGTTATTCCTGAAAGCTTATATCTACCTTGGCCTGACGCTTTGCATTCGAGCCATGTAATTAGACAGGTAATTAACAGGTCTGTGATTTACATGCATACGGATTATTTCATTTGCAGATGCAAATGGCCAGGGCTTTCGAGAAGGGAAACCTAATTATGATGATTACCATGAAATTCACACATGCAAATTATTATGGGTAGGTTTCAAAATGATCATAATATAAATAGCTTTAGATGAACGCATATTTAATTTATAATCATGGACATTTAAATACTAACTCTACAAATACATTTTTTAATAGGTAGCCAGGGCAACCTTTGTAATAATTTTCGTTTACAATTAAGTGAAGCGCTAAAAGGAGCAGTAACAAAAATTGTTGGCAATTAAACTGTGATTTTAGGGATTCGGCAGTTCAAAGTGAATGGAAAACTTTTTTTACAATTAAAACCATCTAAGGGCATGCCTCATGAAATAAAACGTTGCCAGGCTCCAAATCTGCCAGAATGGCCAGCAATATCATCTTTGACTTGTAAGATATACTAAATTGGGGCTTATCATTGTTGTTTTTTATTTGTTTGGTAGACTAACAAAGCAATCGATTTCTAATCCTGAGCAAACGAGAATTAAATTCGGCAAATAATCTTTTCACTCAATACTGTAATAAAAGTAATAACAGCGGCTGACACCTTGTTCGCCTTGGGCACTTAATCGTTACTGTGAGGGATTCTGAGAGCTGAAAGAGAAGGAAAATGTTAAAGAGTGAGACATACTTAACCGCCGTGTATATTTGGAAAATATTCAGCATCGTTTTTCGCGCTTTGTTCATAAGCTTTTTAATATTCCAAAAGGCACAGACTTGTTGTATTCCTCTATCTTAAATGGTCTGGAAAATTCAAAGCCTCAGAATTTCATTCATAAAGGCGAGAGAATAAGGTAAAAAGTAAAAAACATTTTTTCACTCTAAATTGCGCTCAACGACAAAATGCCCATTCAGCAACTTGACACAGCCTGATAAATGGTCAGATATACTTACTAACAAACGGGCGTCGATGTAGGTTTATCACAGCTTTTTTTATTTTCTGCATGCAGCATGGGGATAATATCAGACGAGCAACCTACGCCTCATTGAAGTCAAAGTATTGGAACAATATGACCCAGACAGAGGCAATAACAATGACAGTTATGAGTTTTTTCCAATACGAATGCGAATCGAACGAACTCGTGCAACTAGCTATTGAAGTTAATTTCAAGCTTGAAATGAACTCTTAAAAGACAGCATAAAATTCTAGATGCAATTTGACTTCATTCTATGCGGTTTATACGGTGCTTCATTGATTTTCATGACCTGGCTTGAAATGACAAAAATCCTGACGGCTGCAGTGCTATGTGTCGGCCATTAGATGGGACAAGAATAAAGCCAGATCAGTCACCAAATTGCCTGGGTCAACGCACCATGCTAGGCATAATAAAATAAGTCAAAATAAGGCGAATAATCAAAGATAATTGCGTCTCCAGCCTTAGGGCAACTGCTTGCATAAGCGATTATGTGTTCTTGGTGGTGATTGAATCCTGGAGCTTATACCAACCTAACGCATTCAAGTGACAATGCAATATCTGCTAAATTAATTAGTAGATTGGTTGAGTTAATAAATAAATAGCAGATGTATTGAGCTTGTGTAAGCAGAATTGAATATGATTGAAATTAATATGTCACAATAACTGTATGGATTATTTTGCCGTCTCTAGTTCTCTTGTAGTGTAATAAGCAGAATTAACATTTCTTTGTTCCTGCATACAAAAATTAATTTCAAATTTAAATTTTTTAACATCGTTTCAGAATTAATGTAATGCTTAATTCCATGAAATTTGTTAGTTAATCTACCGCTTGAAAAAGAAAAATGTGAATATTTGGTTTTAATTTATGTAGATTGAAAAAATATTTTTCTCTGTAATTTTATCTGGTGGGTCATATACGTAGATTAAGCTTAAAGCTTTTACTTAATTAATGTTTTCAAAAGTACCGACAATACTAAAGTAAATATTTTGCTAAGCTATCAAGTATGATTATAAATAATTTAATTCTTCTACTTGGGACATTTTTAAATCTTTCACCTTACCAGCTTAAAGTAGCTTCGTAAGTTTAAGTTTTGTGCTACCGTTAAGACTCTTTCTTTATGCATTTACCCTGGGGTATATTCCCGACACATTTATTCGACTTTCTTTACTTTCCGCTTTTGTGGGCAAAACAAAGAGCGCGTTAATTAAATAAGGAAAAATGCTCGAGGGTCATAAAGTATAATCAGAAAATCGAGTCCTGGTAACCCAAAGAAAGCCGGATAATGAAAGATGAGCACCAAATGATTTCAGATATATTTTTGATTTATGCAGTCACGACATGCGATGCATTCCATTTCAGATAGTTCAATGCTGATATTAATTGGGTATATCTTCTTTTATTGATGGGAGTTTCTTTTAATTCCTAATTTGTAGAAAATGTCAAAACTAACTAACATGGATAAGCGCTTTAAAGATTAAATAGTTACATCAAGACATAACCGTATATGAACATTTTTGGTGTACCTGATCAATGCTAGTGTAGAAATTAAAATCCAATATACACAAATGGATTTTATTTTAAAATAAACTGTCAGATAAGCCAAGGCTTGGTGTAAAATAACAATTTGCAAGTGCAAGTATGTAATATTTTTTGAAACATGTAGTTATTTTACGCAGCTTTAATCTGCGCATGGTGAAAAGAAATGTGTCACAACCGTAAACGGGTTATACACAATCAATGCGAAATTTATTTGTGTCAAAGGGTTACTCAGTTACGCAGCAAAGGAGGAAATTGTCCACTTCAACTTCGAACCCAAATAACTTGAGTTAGAGCCGGGCTGTCATTTGTGAGGCCTAATTTGGCATGTAACCAAAGTCATTAGGCATTGACTTTGGCGTAGCCTTTGGCATTGGCATTCGGGGGATCAATTCGTGTGGGAACAGCCATATCAATGCTAAGGGCATTGCGGGTGGCTCTTATAATCTTGGGGTATGGAACCCGTAACCCGAATGGACCAAACAATCTCACACATGTTTGCATTTAATCCACTTTTATTGCAGCTTTGGGGCATGCGACCCTCAGTTATTATACTGATTGTGTTGACATACACACATACACGCACATTGACTCCATTGTTTTTTGTGCGTTGTTGTCGAGCTGCTTATTCAATATTTAAAGGCCTTTCAGGTCGTTTTTACCTTGACCAAACCGTAAAGCACACTGAGAGCTAAGCCAAATATATAAAAATTCAATTTAATTTGTTAACAAATCAAATCGGTCCTTGGCTTGGCCCTCACGTGCGTAGAATGCTGATTTATATGCCAAATTTAAATACATTTTAAATGTCAAGCCCTGAAGAGCTTAGAGCTTAGAAGCTAGGGTTTGTTGTTGTTTTTTATTCAATTTGATTACCTTGTCCAAACTGGAAAGTTTTGGCAAAGTTTTAATTCTTACGGCAGCTGTCGAATCTTTCACCTGCTCTTCAAATTTATCCTTTCAACATTTTAATTTAATTTGAACTGTATGTGTGATATTGAGTGGTCCAAACTTTGCCCTGGACTATGAAAACTAACATTTCATTCGACCAATTTTATATCAGGAGAAAGTAATGAATTTTCAGGCACTTGGCTGTACAAAACTTTTGATCAATAGCAACGCAAAACTTTTGAATAGTTTGCCGTCGAAAGTGAAGCACATTTGATGGGGCTATTGTATACATATAAAGCGAAAGGTATATTTTTAGTTGTATTTCATTTTACATTTTTTTTCAAATTGATAAATTTAAGAACAACATTTTTTACTGAGTGTTTCAAATTAACTAAATGAAAACTAGTATGTCTAAAAAATACGCTTTCATTCAAAACACACATTCATATTACATATTGCATCGCTATAATTAAATTTAATAAAGTATTACTCAAATATTTTTCTTCGTTTACTACGCTCTTTTAAAAATACGCTTTTAAAATATTTTAAAATTTCCAATGAGCTATTTAAAATCTAGTACTCATATCATTTAAACATCTATATGTATATATTTAGGCCTAATTCACACAATTTTCAAAGTTGTATGTACAAAATTTTGGTATGTTCGCGAAAGATGTTTTCAAGAAAAAACTACGTAAGAGCAATGACACCGCTACCGCTGGGAGATTACCTTTGGTAAAGCCAGAACGAGATTTTATCCTATCTGTGTAGTAATATCCTAGTCCGGCAGGAAGTTGGCGAAACTCAGCGCAAGTTGAGAAACCTAAATCGACAATTTGAACGTGACATTTTGCGTTTGGAAAATTCGATCAGTAATTTGGAGGTTCCTGACAAGTCATTGGCTTCCGCTTGGGTTTCTAAGCTGAAGACCCGTCCACCAAATATTAATGAAGCTCTTGCCCGAAACTATATTTTAACATATCTACTGCAATCAAGTCAAGTGCAGATGTTTAAACTGAAGCCGTTTTGTAAATCACCACCGGCAAATACCTTGTCAAAAATAAAAGCAGTAATGGTAAGCTAACTACTTAGTCACCAGCGTACTAATGTACAATTTTCGAATTTGCTTTTGCAGCCACCGATTATGATCAAAAAGAAAAACGTTAAGGAGCTGTATCAAAATTCTTACGATAATGGCGCCTTTTTAAATAAACTACCTGTGCCGCGAGATGGAGCATTTTTTGTATTGCATCTGCGTCCAAATCTGAACTGATTTTAGCTAAGTAACAATTTCATGAACATATTTTGCAATCAATTGCAATTATTTGTTTCATAAATGCAAGAATAGATATTAAAATATTTCCTTAAGTAATTCTACATTCTATTAAATCTGGCAGAGCCAAGCACTTCCTCAATCTTTTCTACAAGCTAATTTAAAAGGTGTCGGTATCTTTCGAGTTGGCTTCTCTACGCATCCTTCAATAAAGCGTGACTTCTGCAAACATGAGTTGGGCATATCCATTAAGCATTGCGTAGCATGCCTGACCTTAAGCACATTCTCATAGTTTAACAACTTCTGACTGATACTGTCGAGTGCTCTTTAATGTTTAATGAACAAATATGCACATGTTGGTTGAATAATCATAGCATGCATTTCCGGCGCATCGAAGTTGGCTTCGTAAATATTAACGTAAAATTGCACTCGTCACATGCAACGGATTTGATTCAAATATTCTCAGCTCTTCAATGCCTTAGATATGTATGTGTATTTATTTGGTTCCGTTTCCGGCTTGTGTAGCTGGACTTGTTTTGATAGTTTTGCTTCAGTTTTGAATATTGTTTCATACATGCCACACACATATTTGGTGTGTACTCAAATCTATGCCGAAAATTGTGAAATTGTAGTTTTGCAATTTAAACTGAAGCTTTGCATTTTGATTATTTATAAAAGCAAACAATTATTTTCCGTCTGTCGCAATTTAATGCTTGTATCTCAGGCTCTCGAATTAATTCGAATATCTGAATTGGTTTATCCCCTATTTATTGATTTAAAGCATGTTTATGGCGTTTGTTTGAACATGTATCAAAACATTTTGCTTAGAAGAAAAAAATGCAATTAGTAATTGCAACTTTTAATTAAATATCAAGTTTCCACAGAGAGATACGCAGCCAGCGCAATTTTGGCAAGACTAATGGCCGTCTGTTCGGGTCCTTCCAATTCGATTCCGGCAAAACATTTCCGTTTTTGAAATATTGCTTTCATTTTTTTGGGCGAGCTGCACGGTGACCCTGTAAAAGCTCCATAGAAAAATCTCAAAGTTGCTGCTGTTGTTGTGGTTATGTGTAACACCCCGCAGCAAAACAGAGTGAGGATAAACAATGTGCTATTTGCTGCTGCGCTGTAAGCAATCGATAAAAAACCGTTTTTTTTTGCTGCAACCAGATTTTACTTTTTAAAACCGTTACATTCTTGATGGACAAATTTAAGAACAGCTGTAGTTAAAACTTCTGTTTATGACCTATTACAGATGGGCAGCATTTAATTTGGTTTAAATACATATGGGTCAAATGTGGAAAGGATTGTGGTATAGCTCAGAAATGATTAGTTTATTTATTAATAAGTCTTAAACGTTGCTTTTTTTATAGCTCGCTATTTACTTATATCTGTACCCGGCTTGGGAGATCGATGGGGATCTTGAAAATTTCCCCGTCGCTTTCTTTTGCAAAGGCTTCTTGCCAGTATATAAGGATGCGCAGGTCGATGTTGTGTATCCTGCGAAGTCCCTGTTGCAAAGCCGGTAAGCATGGACAAGGTGGCTTAACAAGGGAAGCTTAAGTCGGCTACGTATGTACCAAGGTGTCGCAGTATTTAGTTTGAGAATCGTGGTTTAGACGACACTAATTTTTCTCATATGCGATTTTGCTGCTGTTTCAATGGCTTGCATTTGGCTTGCATACGCCAAAACGTGGAAAGAAGGGTTTCGTATAGCAAAACCTTTAAGAGTCAGTCAATTGATGAGTGGATTCAAGCTTACGAAGCGTTAATCAAATGTCAATTACGATTCCCATTTCAAGCCATCAGTCGCGAATGAGATTTGAACAAGTTTTAAGACCGCACATGTCTTACTGACAGTTTTCCAATTGTGGAACTATACCCCTTAAGCCCTTGCGCTCCTTGTTCTCTAGCTTTTGACATTTTTCCGCACTTGACAGCGCGTCGACATGAACTCTGAAGGCAGGCTTCATTTTGTTTCCTCGCTGCAGCAAGCTTGTCGTTATCTCAGCCTTAATGTAGTTTGCCCTTACGTGCCATTTTGTTCGTTCTTTGCGCAGCTTAAGAATTTCCAACTCTGAAATTTCAAATTGTAGTTTTTTTATTTTTATTTTTTTAAGATCTGCTTGTCACACACTGCTTGCATTT